AAGATTGAGTCAAATTTTGAAAGATTCCGTTTTCTATTATTTAGAGCGCTTCAATAGCGTCCAAATTTATGATCGATGCCATATATCATATAACTTTCTACCCATGCCCGCGGTTTACCCACCGGACCCCCACTGAGAGGTCCCCCAAACAAAATTGCGCAAAATCATCATTTTTGTGTAGATAATACATAGCATTTGTTAAGAATCTATAAAAATGAATTTAATTAAATTCAGTTTCATAGATTCCTTCCCCTATAAATCTTTCTTTAGTTACTAACCACCAGATCAAACTAAAATTTCAATAAGCGACTTCGTGCAAACAAAAAATTCCAATTTCCTTAATCACTATTGTAAATATGAATTGATTATTTTATTTGTATATTTTAGGCATAAAAACAACATCAAAAAATTTGACCGAGCCCGCGAATACTTAATTTTTTTTAACTCATCTTATCAAGCTATTCTCTATTTTTTAATTGACTTAAGTCTTGAAGATTTTACGCGGCTACTTTTCTCATTATCAAGTTATTACGAATTCTACTTCCATTATTATCTCTAGACTTACCGCCACGACTAACGTTGATGAAGCAGGCACTTTTTTTCATTTTGGAAAATTTTTCTGCATCAAACATGCCCCTAGTTTCTGGCGTCAATGGACAAATAACAATCACAAAATCACTTCGTTCTAATAGTTCATCCATTGTTACAAATTCGGCATCAAATTCATCAGCTATAATTTCGAAATATAATGCAATTAAATAAAATCATTTAAAAACAAGGCTGAGTACACTGTTAAATTGATTTTACCTTCCGGTTTCTTTTTGTGACCGGTATAAATTATAGTCATATTGAATGCTTTCAATCTTCTTGCAACAGTTTGTCCAATTTCTCCTAAACCGACAATACCAGCTGTAGTTTCAGATACATTTCTGCCTAAAAACCACGCAGGGCCGCTTCCCCACGTTCCACTGAAAATAAATATAATAATATTTTAATGGCCTAAAAATATACTTTATTTCTTCAATATTCATATAAAAATTGAATGAAATAGAGTATATAAAATCGCACTGATACAAATATCTGACAACATATAAAACTTGATCCACGTTGCAGATATATCAATTCCATTAGAATTTTGATCAAAATTGGAAATAAAAATATAAAAATTATTTGTTAAACTTTTTACACAAGTGACATGCGTCGGCAAAGACAGGAAAGTAATAATTAATTAAAATTCATATAAGATAAATTCTTCCATGTCCAGAAAATATACGTTACTACTTGAAAACCTTGGTATCGAATTAAACTTTGTTTTATCGAAGTGATACGAGAAACGCTACATTTGAAGCATGATTTATTAATTTTATCTTCTTCATCTCTATGGCTTACTTGTAAATAAATAATTATATTTAAATAAAAAATTATATGTACTTCTCTATGTGTTTCCTAGCTTCTCCAAATCTTCTAGCAGTAGCTATCATAAGCCCAACAGTTAAATCAGCAACAGCATTATTAAAACTCCTGCAGTATAACCAATTGGAATATTCTTTTGCGAATTTCAGGTAAATCTACATTGTCCAGCCCAGCCGACATAGTAGATATGGCCATAATGTTCGGTCCTAAATAAAAAAAAAATAGTAGCTAGTAAAAACATATACAATTATATTAGTCAATTTAATTTACCTGCAGCATCTAATATCTCTTTGTCCAACGTTCTTTAGTACACACACATTAAACCATGAACTCCCACAATTTTTTTCCAAAATTTCTTGTCGTGATGGAGACGGACGTCCGGTGCACATAATTATTTCGCAACTGAAAACATTTGTTACTATTAGATTGCTAATAAAAAAATTTGAAAATTAAATATGAAATCGAAATTTACAATTTTGATGAATTGGAAAGAGAAGAGAGGAGGATATTCACGAAATCGATTTGAGTTTTATATAACTCATGAAATATTTAATTAAATTTAAAAAAATGTTTTTGAAGACTGAATGAAGGCATCCAATTAACGTTATAAAACTTATAATAATTAGGCTTCAACTCTTAGAAAATTACAAGACAATTCGCCCAATTAACTAACATATCATTAAAATATACGCCAAAATTATATGCAAGATTCATCATTATAATAGTATCAAAATATTATTTCAATAATATATATTATTTGGAGTGATTGCAGTATAATATTATACTGCAATCTTTCCAATAGCGTGATTGTACAAAATTATAAATAAAATATTTTTGTATTTTATTACTTGGAATATAAAGCAATTGCTATATTTTATCATATCATTTGTTTTCCTTAAGCTGTCAGAATGTAAATAAAAATATTAAATAGATAATGTTATCTTACTTGGGAGACATGATGTCAATAGCTTCCTTCGGTATATCCGGATGAGTTAACAAAATTTTCGGTCGTGTAGGAATCTGCGCCATAATGTTAGAATAATATTTTTTGAAGAAATTCTTCACACAATATCACCTGTAACTCACTTGTACAAAGTATACAAAGAAACTGACGTGCCATCTAAATGGCATACAATTTATACAAAATCTCGAAGTTTGGGTCTCAGTTTATCACTATTGTCTTATCAGCACTTGATAAAATACAAATATAAAATTCCGGTTTACATAATATACTTTGCAAACCGCAAACCAATTGCAATATGCAATACCTATTAATTGTTTGCGGTTAAGCAAATGCATCGATGTTCGGAGATAACAAATTAATATATAATTTAGTGCATTTTCTGATTATATTTACAAGCATACTGATTAAACTAACGGCGATACAAAGTTTGAGACTAAATATATTCCCATAATTTATTATGAAATGAAACAATTTTCTCGTTTGCAAAGCTATTTCGAATAATAGAACTTGCGGAGTTCAGTCGTCATTTTTGAAGAAAATACTCAACAATATCTGTTACAAACTACATAACATAGCCTTTTGCTATGTTATTGCAAGAGAGTTATTGAAGAAAAACTTCTCTAGGCGCGACTAGTGTGTAAATTCGTACAGATGCAACGGAAATTGCGTTACGCCCGAACTGCACGTCATTCGCTCTCAATGAAATCATTTCAATACGGATCGATTGTGATTAGTCGTCGTGTATGTGAATAGAGATCTGTCGCTGTATGGGTACCGGCATCAAAATGTTGTATGCGTATAGATGAATAAACATTTTGAAGTTACATCGTAGTACAAATCATGATTTGATGAAAAATGTCTGAATCAGAAAAATACTTTACTCTGTTCCTTGAAAATAATAAAACAAATTAAACATTTGTGCCTTGTACTGAACGTAAGTTAATTGATTAGAAATTATTTCTATATTATTCGTAGTTTCTATAAATCTCTGAAGTTATTAAAATGGAAAATATTTTTTAGACAAGACAGATATTACAGCCGTTCAAAGAATGAGATTATATCGCCAGCGAAAAAGTAAAAAAAATACAAGCAGTCAATGAATGTATGTTAATTTTAATTGCATGAAGTTCTTCAAACACAATTATTACATGATATTACTGGTTATATGAGAAAAGTAATATCTGAATACAAGAAGTTTTCAATTCCGAATATTACACACAATTAACAGTGACTGACAATTATACTATTGCCATGGGACAGTTTTGGAAATCGTCAAATATACTATCGTCGCGGAATTTTGTGTATGAACGACTATACTGTCATTCGTATAAATCTTTTACCCATGGCTAATCCGATTTTTTTAAAAGAAAAAAATAAAACGTATTTTCAAAATTCAAGATATTTAGAATGTTTTGAGACTGATTTAAAATAAATACTGACATTTTTCCTCAAAAATAACAATTTACCTCGATTTCGGCAACCCAACACTGTGGGCACAGTTTAATGAGTGCGTCGCAGTTAACTGATGGTTAAATGAGACCAGAAAGATAAAAGAAGTCATGTGTGAGTTTATTTGACTGCACATATGACATATGAATAATATTAAGTAATCACAAGCTGCATTTTCTTACAAAGTGAAATATGCAAGAGATAATTTCACGAAATATTAAATTATAAACAATATTTATTACGAACCTTTAAATGAAAACAATTTACACATCTATCACATATAGGTACCATAATGGGTCGCGCAGCGAGTAAAAACCGGCATTTTGATTCGATTTAAAAAATACTTCTGTCCATCGATATTGAAATGAAAAAGTTTGTAGCTATAAAAATATATTAACAATCAAGAAACTGATACAAAATATAACATTATAGTATATCAAACATATTTTTAGTAACATTATATTATCAAACATATTTTTAGTACAATGCAGATCGTTTTTACATCCAGGGATCCCAACCATGCCAAGTACAACCAAGAATACTACGATCGGTTGCTAAATCTATCAAACAATCCACCTGCAGGTAAAAAAGGTCAAGTTAAACTACTCATACCACATATTTAAATTAATATTAAATTTAGTGGCAATTCAGACCAATTAACGCATTATATCTTTTAAATTTCTAAATATAAAACCTATTACATTATATTGATCAACCGAATTAATAGAACTATATGTAATATAAAAAATAACAATCGCAAACCTGTTCTTTAGCAGTTAAATCTTTCATTTTTAATCTGCGACGTATATTATGTTGTTCCACTCCCATTCCTTTTTCAATATAATGATTTACGTAAATTTCATTGATAGTAGAAACAAAAGAATGTTTCAACTCGTCTTGTAGAATATGGACAGGATTAGAACCTTGGAGTTTGAGACGCGCCATGCGCAATTTCAAATGCGCCATTGTTTGCTCATTTTCCACTTGAAATAATATAACAATGACATTCGTGAACAACTAAATATAAAATATGCGGAATTCCGCAGATGCGGACATATAGGAGAGTTAAATTACTAATATGTCATTAATGGTCAACAAACATTAAAATAGTTTGATAGAATTAAAATAATAAGAATTATTTTATATTCATATCTCTGCAAATAAGACCTAAGTGTAAATGGTATTTCGCCTTAAGACAAGCAAAAACTTCTTAATATTTGTTAATGAAAGAAAATCAATATAAAAATAAGATTTAGCAACTTTTCAAAACAAAAGGTCAAAAATTGATTCATATACACACAATCATACATACTCTTCTTTTATCTATGCATACATACATACTGTTTCCAGCACTGGTCTTAAACAATTCAGAATGACTTGAAACGCCAATAATAGAAAATTTTCTAAATTATTTGCGTCATTTGTTACCTGAACTTATACTACTATCAGTATAATTTAAAGCTTCATTATCCTCGGATCGCACTCCATACATTTTTATAGGTTCCAACCAATTAATTAATGGCTCATGCATAAAAATATTCATTGTGGCATATAAAATTGATCTTGCATCCCTTAAAGCAGTAAGAGCATGCACCATAACTCTTGGGATAAGACCTGCAATAAAAACATTCTAATTTACTATTTACTATATATTTATAAATAAATAATAAAACAAGTCACTTATAACTTCAATTCGTATCAGTTTAGTGTTTAACAACAATTAAATAATATAAGTTCACAGTAAATAACTTACCAAATGCAGCTGTAGGTTCCATAAGATTCATAATATGAGGTGTCAGCCTGATTGGCAATAATTCAGGAATCGGCAATGTCATTACCCCAGAACCAAAAGCACAATTAAAATCAATTCCGACCGCAAATCCAGAATTTATATTTATTAAACAATTTGATAAATGGCGATCACCGATGCCTGTAAGTAACAATTTCATTAGATTATTTAAACTTAGATGTGAACATTTTAATTTTCGAGTATCTTATTACCTAATAGCCAATGGGCAATGCACATAGTACCGTAACTCGTTGCGAAATTATGCCTCAAAGTGAAAAAACTTTCAGCGTTGGCACTCATTTCTTTAAAAGAGTCTCTGAAACATGTACACATTTATTACACAATTCATGTTATTGTAAGAATTATATACTATAATTACAAGAAAAAGTAAAATATATCTATTATAATATTTTCAGATTATGATTAATTGATTGATCTATTGAAGTCCAAACTGTAAAATAATCTTAAGAGAAAGGTGGTAGGAAGGTATCACAAAAAATAAAATGAAAACATATTAATCTAAAATTAAACGATATTACAGAAGGTTAACTGAAATTGAGAAAACAAAGAATTTACGTAAACCTAATAAACTGATTCCTAACTAAAAAAAAATTGAATTAAGAAGATTAATAAATCAAATTCAATAACCATATACTTAATAGCTATTAAAACTAGTTGCTGGTTCAATACCTATGTAACTTGTGAATACTGTTATTAAACGACAATTTACAAAATTTAAGACAATTGTTCCGATATAATACTGAAAGTATTCAAATTTGATGTTGAAATGTATGATTAATTTCATAACATCAAGTAAAAAATATAAATAAGTAAAGATTTTTTAAAACATCTTTATTTTTCCATACGTTTCGACGTAAAATTCTACGTCATCGGCAGTGGTTTAAAAAAAAACAGAAGTAACGTTAAAAATTGAATATACATAAGCAAAAATAAAAAGAAAAAAATTTAACTAAAGAGACAGTGAGACAGACTAATTATATCTAAACCTTAAATTAAAATAAAGCATAAAACATTACTTACTTGAATTTCTTAGATTATCACTTACACATATTAATACAGCTTGTAAAAAATTAATAATTGGAAACAAGCACTAAATGTCAGTAAAAAGCAATTAATAAATAAAATATTATACAAAAGCACTCGTGTATCCGAGGCCAAAGCCAAACAAGAATAATGTTTTTGTAAGTATCCGAGATGCGAAGTCAAAATTTTAAGAAAACTGACTTCGTAACTGACCATCTTTTTGACGCGCTGTGCAAGTGTGCGTGATAATGTCTGCAAACCGTGGTGTTAGATATTCGATATAAATTGGGAAACATTATTTAGAACATATTGGTAATTTTCGCAGATGAAGCTGGTGTCTGTTCGTTTGTTTAAACAATTTTTATTCAACAAAATATAGGCCGATTCTGAAAAGCGCCTTTGTGAGACTTTGAAGAACCTTTGCGTCATAAAAATTGAAAGTATGGTTATTTAGTTTTAAATGTTCTGTGATCATTGTTTGCCCTTGATTTTTGTTTTTTGAGTTATTATCGTGTTGTTTCAAACGTTTGATAAGGTTCTGTCCTGTTTCGCCAATAGGTGGAATCACACTCATTGCAAGATATTTTATAGACCACATTGGATACTTGTTCCGAACTAGTGCACAGCTTTAAATTTGAGAAGAGGGAATTGAGCATTAAATCGATGTTACATACTAAACGGAGACTTGCGTTATAAAAAAGTTATATATATATATATATATATATATATATATATATAAATTATTAACTCACTTTAGTATATCTTCTGGTATCCTATTAACTAATTCCTGATATTTTGAAATCACAGCGTCTCTGTGATAGTGGACCACAGCGTTTCCATACAATGCGACAAATGATGTAGGATCCGTTTTTGAAGCCTGTCTGATCCATTTGTTATACGAAGACCGTACTTCTTCAACTCTGTTTTTAATACCTGGTTCTTTTAAAAACATCATATCGCGCAATGTCTTCGTTTTCGGTATCCATTGAATCATACCTAAATTTAACGTAAGCGGAGTAACCTATCATAAAGAAAACACGAAATTTTTAGATTTATAAATTTAAATATCTTTCATGTGCACGGTGCTTTTTCGCAACAGTTAAATTTATGCAATGAACTAAAAGCAAAATTCAAAAGCCATATACTTAATAATTATTAAAACTAGTTGGTGATTCAATACCTATGTAACTTGTAGAGACTTTATAGAAGTTTTATTAAACGACGATTTACAGAATTTAAGACAATATCAAAACTGTTCGATATAAATGAATAGATTAAAACTTACATTGTAGGTAACAATTGAAAGACGCCGGAAATTACATTCAGTATTAAGACTAAGCTGCTCGTTCATCAGTGAGAAAATTTGCTGAATTCTTTGATCCAAGCGCAAGTCTTCACCATATTTTATTAAATAAACATGTTCTTTACCATCGCTACTATAAATTCCTATTTTAACTGGCAATCTTTGAGAAAGTAGTACTGTTATCTAAAAAAACATAAGAAGCATTGTATGCAATGCATTTAAAAACATATATACATACTCAGCACAGTGTTCATGTATGTAACTTTACTGCTCAAAAAAATTAAGAGCCAGTTGTAACCACCAAATTAAAAAATAATTAATAATCAATGTACATTTAAGAACTCTAGATAAATAGTTCAATTTATAAAATAAATTTTGAATTATCCTTCTGTACATATAAAATTAAATAACCTTTGGTCAAATCGGGCAATTTTTGCATGATAGTGTGGCAAAGGTTTTTTGTGTCCCTGATATTGTCCTGGTAATTCAAGTGCGACACTATCTTGAGGTGTGAAATCGGCAAGCCAAGGGCACAAGTCCCGCAAGGTTTTCGGACGATGATTAGAGAGCGATTTCAACAACATTTTAATTTCCATTAACAATTCCGGAGACGGTTTTTCTGCAAAAATATGTTCCATGTAAACAAGAAATTAAAAACAGTAACATTTTAAAATAAATATAAATATTCACCCATATAAGTACTAAACAAATTCTCAAATTTGGTCATTGCCTCAAATGCTTTTCCTCTCAACGGATGTAAGTTTTGTTGAAATAGCATGCGTTTTAAATTCTCCATATCAGTATCTTCAAGAACATAAATATTTATTAAGAAACATACTAGTAAAGTAATAGCTAAAACATATTTATTAAAAATTAGTAAAAGTTCTTACAATTTTTATCTGTTAATTTTCCTAAGGCATTTATTAATAATATTTCTGGCAGACATATACAAGAAATAGCTTCAATGAATCTATCTATCAAAGAATTTTTCATCAATACTTGTTTTAACCTAAATAAATATAATAATGCATTTAATATAATCTAATATATTATATATATATATATATATATATATAACAATATTTTTTTCAGACTACTTACTTAGCAACACAATATTCAGCATAACTGCCGGCTAGGCATTTGTAATTAAGAATACTAAGCCTGAAAGGATAATGCAGTGCGTCGGGATACGATTCTGCGACTCTGATAACAATTGGCCCTATAGTCTCTGACCGATTACTTGTCAACTGTGCTAAAAGTTGTGGAGCCCATTGTATGAACATCCATTCTGGAACTTGGGCCGACTGCAAAAGTATATACAAAAATGCTTTAAATTTTAGAAAGTCATTTGCAAAAGATTAATTTATTTGACATAAAGAAGATTACCAATTCTAAAAACACATCTTTCATGTCAGCACTAATTTCATCATATTCCAGTAAAACAGGAAAAAGTTGCTTTGCTTCAACTGATCCTAAGGCCATAGCTTTTAAAATACTTTTTATCATTGATAAAATGTATACACTTTTCAAATCATCTTCAGCATATTTTAAATTATGCATATTAAATTGTATCATTTTTTTGTAGCAATTTGTTACAGTGCTTATTTCTATATTTATATCATTATTTGCATGAGCAGCTTCAGCATACTTGATAGATTTTTGTAAACATTTAAAACCAAAAATATCTAATGTTTTCGAATGGCTCAATCCTGCAAAAAATGTTTGGCAACTCTAAATGTTATATTAGTAAATAATAACCAATCTTAAATGCCAAATTTACCTCTTTCCTGGCCGTGTTTTAATATGAAATTCTCTAAAGACGGGTAGTTTTCTAGGATGTTCGCATTTTCAAAAATTAGATGTTTAAACAATTTAGTAACATCGACGATACTATGATGTACATCAATATAAAGATTTGGATAATACTTCAAATTATCTATTTCCTTCAGAGACTCTATAAAAAATATAAAAAATATTTGGATATGACAATGAAATATTATTAAGTTAAATTTTGATAAACAAAACTTGAATTGTGCATGATGGATAAAGTTCTTGCATACCTAACATATCCCAAGATCTATGGCAGTCCTGAACTTTTTTGTCAATATCGGTTTCAAGAATTCCTTGTAAGAAAATTTGTTGACATCTAGATATCCTCCATCTATAATTTTTTTCCGGATCCTCATGCTTCCCCAAATCTTTAAGTTTTCTGATATATATCCTAGACAAACCTAAGTTCTTTTGCTTTATGGCAGCATCAAGAAATGACAATTCCATTTTAATCTAATAAAAAATAATAAGCATAACAAAATTTCAAATTAAAGTTGAATCTAAAATTGAATGACTAAATAACACAATGGCAATTTTTGTTGATTATATTATTATTGATTAAAAGAAAAATTGATTATCAATAGAATCATAACATGGATAATTCTGATGATTGTGATACCACAAAATAGCTAGATAGACTGACCTTACAATTATCAAGTTCTTCATTGATAAAAGCAAAATCTTGAGGTAGAGTTGCCAACTGCTTCTTGATATGATTAGAAAACATTAGTCGGTATGCAAGCTTTGATTCCCAAATTAATAATGAGTCTGAAGGTTTTGCCATATTGTTCAACCATTTTTTAATCAATTTCCTTACTGTAGCAGCGTACTCGATTTTATCACTTTTCTTAGTTGTGCGCATAAACATCTGAATTTCTGATGTTTTTTGAATATCCATTAATTTCATTAATCGCAGTTCATTCGATAAAAATTTAAATTTGACCAATCTTTTAAGAACATAATTAATTTTTGTTCCAAATAGTACCCTCCTCCGAATATATCACCATTAATAATATTAAAAATAGACAACTCTTCACTAAAATTTGTTTTTAAATAAGCTGCTTTCTCTGAATCACTCAACCAACTACTCAAAAAAAAACTGAACTCTGAATTTTCTGAACTATTAATAGCTTTATGAATTTCAGATGTTATGAGTAATGGAAATAGTTTTTCCTGTGCCCATTGTTCAGTCCACATCTCATCCAAAGAATCCACTTGCCGTTTTATACCACTAAAACATAATGCAAAATAAAAATTTCAATTATAGAATTATGACTATGATTAGTTTATTTTTACTTACATATTCAGATCATCCCAATGCCCAAGTTTAGCAAAAGAATTGAAATAACATTCTTTATGAAATTGCCTTTCAGTTTCATTTATTGCGCTTGATGTCCCCGATACAACTCTTTCATAGCATTTCATAGCCATGTAATAATCACCACTATATTCTAATTCTAAACCTCGGGCAAAATCTTCATTGCACTCTAATGCCTTCATAAATATACCTTGAGTAGTGTCATAGTCCGCCATTGATTGATAAATTCTAGAAAAATATAGATTCATTTTATTTAAGTTCAATTAATTAAATATAAAACATATTTTATGTAAAAAAATAAAATACATTATTTGCTCTGTGGGCTTATTTTAAGAAGTTGTGTGTAAACATATTTCTTTTTCAAATTTTACATAAGGAACAGTTGAAAGGTAATTTGCCTGCATAAGTGGTTAACAACATACAACCATAGGAACAATATGAGTTTATGGGATCAAATTATTGATATAGCTAGATAAATTATAATAATAATTTTAAAAATGAATTACAAATAATTTGTTTAAAAAACTATAGTTTTTTAATCACAGTATACTGTGATAAACAACTGCATAAATAGTCAAAAAGTAATAGATTAATGCAAACCCAGCTAGTTTTAACCAATGGTTATATTCATCATTGTCCTCTATTGTAGATCGTTTGTTTGCACATTCATTATCTAAAAATTCACCATTAAGTCTGTTTTCTAATAATAAGGCACCCAATGACAACAGTTGGCTTGTATGAGATACTGTAAAATTATTGAAAACGAGTTATGAAATGATATATTTAATATATTACATTGGTGGCTTACCTAAAGAAATAACGTCTGGTCCAATATTCATTAGTTTTGGGTATTCAAGTGCCATTTCGAATATAGTGCGCATAATATTAGAATTACATAACTGACTTTTTCTGAAAATATTTTCTATACTTTGATTAATTTCCTTGATAAAATGTTTTTGTGATTCAGAATCTAATTCCGCAATTATGCCTATGTAGATAGAATGTAATACAATTTGACCAATGCTGGAATCGCGCTTTGCAAGTTCTTTTAATGGAAGCAAAATGGCTGCATTTGTTATTTGAATGTCGGGAAAATCGCCAATACGATATTGCCGATACATGGTTACTTTTGAAGTTTTCATCTTTGATCTAATTGTCTGAAATAATTGAAAAACATCGAAAATAATTACAATAGCAAACAAATTATTTAAAACTCTTGACTACAAAGAATTCGGACAAGTTTCACTAACTTCCAAATTCGAAAATTCGAATATTCGAAAATCGGACACATACAAAATTGATTATTTGGGAACAGATATCAAATTAAAACTGATCACAGAATTAAAAAACGTCATAAAAAATTATATATTAAAAATATTAATTACTCAGAAACTAATCGGTCTATTTTCACACAATATGAATGCATGTTACCAATAAAAAAAAATCGAACGTATTTTTATTTTTGGAATTATTGAAATAGTCTAAGTAATTTTTTAACAGTTTGTCGCAAATAATCTAATCATCACACTAATAATAATATTCCCAGGTATCTTTCAAACTGTATTTCAATTTTCAAATTCGTTTTTCTCAAACTGCTCTTAATAAAAAAACGACTACCTGTTGTTTCGAGAAAATAATCAAAACAAGTAATTATTGAATGTTTTCAAATGATTTGGTAATTTCTGAATCTGTTATTACATACATAAATACATATATGTATTTATGTATGTATTAATGTATACATTCTTTATGTCTAAGAATTCAGGATGAAAACTTCTGGGATTTGTGAAAAACCTAATACTTTATATTTAAAAATTAACTTCAAATAACTATAAAGTCATTATGGTCATTTCAATATATATATATATATATATATATATATATATATATATATATATATGTAATGTTTTATTATTTATCATAAACCCACCAAAATACGTCTGTCTTTTTTCTTTTTAGCAATAGCCCTTGCTGCAAATTGTTGTGATGCTTTATCTTTATCTTTAAGCAATCGCCTTCGAAGTTTTAAAAATGAGTCTTTTAATTGCTGACTTCCAAGGTCTTCTACTTTTATTTCTTCGTTATCCGCATCAAACATTAGATAGTTTAATGTGTCATGGCTCACATCAAGAGGCTGTGTATTTTCTAATGAAAATTAAATTGACTATGTCATAATAATGATATTTCAAAATAACTTTTAAGATATGAATGAGGCATGAATCTTATGCAATTTTTGAAAGGCCGGAAAAAGCAAACAATATATTCACTATATTGTTTGTTAAATGTTATTAATTAATGTTTTGAGAATTTAGAAAAAACAATTTATAATAGTCATTTAGTTTTAATTCTGGAAGGCGACAAAGAGGGAAATCTAAAAAAAATTGGCACCTGATCAAATGCATAATTTTAGCCCTCAAAATAATCTGAAGAAATATATGTATATATATATATATATATATATATATATATATATATTATAGATCAATAAAGAATGATGTTATAATCGTATGAAAGATAAAAAAGTTACAAAAATGTTTTTTCACAAAATAGCAAACGTCTGTAAAAAAAACTCACGCAAATCAAAAGTCGGTGCAAATTGTAATTGTTCTTGCTGAGTTGCTTGTATCATAGGAATTTTTGCTATATTCGATTTAAAGTAAGCTGCTATAGTTTGAGATCCAATGTAAACTTGAGTACTCCTAGTGGCTGTACTTCTACTCTTCATTTTGGGAATAAAAGATTCTGCAAACAATGGCACAGTTGCAGAATTCTTTATGTGCCAGTTATCCTCAACACTGCAAAATTAAATAAAAATAAAAAATAATTATTTTTTAATATGAAATAAGAAAAGCAATTTACTACCAATTGATATAAACATCCATGAAATCGATATATAAAAACAAACCTGTAGCTTTTGAAGGTACATTCAGATAAAGGATGTTCAAAAATATTTCTCTGGATATCACTAACTTGTAATGCTATTTGCAGCAGTATTGTAACACCATACTGAATAAAATTCTTTTCTAAATGTTCATCATATAAATTACTCATAAGATACTTGAAAATGGCATCATATGTTTTAGGCAAAGCATTTTCACTTTGCCAGAATGTTTGCATCTTATCATTCAATTGAGCATCTGAGTCCAAAAGACCCAAAAGTAATATATACTGGACATTTTGCAATATATCATAATCTGATTTAAATTGTATTATTTTGTAACTAGTCATAGCTATGTCGTAAACAACGCTTCTACAATTAGTATCTTCTGAACTTATCAAGCGTTTAGCATTTTGTATTAAAGTTGAAGGCCGGTTCAAATCATTTTGCAAAAATGGTAATAGTTTGTGAATAATTTTTAAAGCTAAAATAACTGTATCTTTATCTTTTAAAAGTAAATCAAAATCCAAAGTTTTAATATCGGAGTAAAACTCTTCACCCTTTAGTTCCAATACTGACAAAAGAATTTGCAATAACATTGTTTTCTGCAAATCGATTGCTCTTGAAATATTGAAAATGACATAAGTAATATAAGGATATGCAATATCTGGATAGTGTTTTGCAATGCCATAAAGACAAATAATAAATATATCTGTATTATTTCTTCTCAAATAATCTAGTCTTCTGTTTACTGAACTCAGAAGAATATTTTCAGCTGACCCTAAAGAACTTAAGTTTAGAACCATTCCGATAACTTCACTGCAGGGTTTATATGTAATGGATTCCATGCTATTAAATTGCATGCATAATGCTTTATAATAATCGTCCTTCTTAGAATCAGGCCAAGGAATTATTTTATTTGCCAAAAGAATGCCGGCTAATTCAATTCCCATATTAGTTTTACTGTCCTTCACGGGATTTTCAAGAGCAAGGTACAAGTATTGAAGTGGAAAATCTAGACAAGTCTTCCAAATTTCCACAACACTTTTAATTATTTCCATGTTGAGCTTATATATTGCACGTCGTTCATGGTATGCATTTTTCATTAAAAAATACATAAATTGGCTCGCAATATTTCGTTGGATACTAGTAGATGACGGAATAGCGACGTCATGCCAAGAAAGCATCAATGCCACCTGAAATAAATATAATAAACATAAGATCATAAACACATTAATACAATTTATGATTTAAAAAATCAATATATCACATCAAAAGAAGCATAATAAATTCAATACATTGGCTAATACTCTTTTATGAATATTGTGTTCTATAGTAAAATGAAATATGAAAAAATAATAGCTTATAAAAAAGTGAAGAAATTTTGTTTTAAATTAGATACATCAAATTTATAAATTGTTGAGAACTTACCGTGTCGGCTACAAAATGATTAATAGTAGATCCAGCACATTCGTCAACAAGTAGTTCTAATATTGGAGTTAAAATATGATGTGCGTATGGTCGAAATACTATCTGACAATTATCAATTATTCGCATAATAAATAAACGTATGTTTACAGGAGTCTCTGCATTAGCCAAAACCTGCACTAGAGCCTCCATCCAGGAGGGCATTACTGGTACACTGGAACCTGAAATCATTATTGTCAAACATCTAATTTTTTGTATCAAGGATTTATAAAATTAATATAATTTAATAACAAAAATGTTATCAATAAATGTTTAGTTGGGCTATAATTAATATGGGCAACTCGAGATAAATCTTCAAGTAAAAATTAGTCCACATAGAACATAATTCTCTAATGTTTTTTTTCAACGCGTCGGATTTATAAATTTTATATCTTTTAATTTGAATCTTTTATTCAATAACCTTGTTTAGTATTAATGCCATGAGATTGATTTTGTGCTAGCGGAGAAATACCCTTAGTGACCATGTGGCCTATTACACCACAGATTATGCTCATGCACTCATGGTCATTCAAGAAATCCTCTGTAAGATAAATTTGTGTACCAAAATTTTCCTAAAAATATTATAAAACTGATAATAACATTCTTGACATATCAATAAATTTCGATGACGATCAAAAATTTTCTTACAACTTTTGTTTTGTGGTCCACCGGATGTCGACGTACAACGTTGTGGGTCATATCAAATTCTGTGATGTCCTGACTCAAACTGGAAGAGAAAATACTCTGTTGTGTAAGATAATTGAGTTCTTCTGAGTCTGCTGACGCTGCTTTACGAATTTCTACCAAATGCTTTTTGGTTTTAGGGTACTACAAAATAAAAAATAAAAATACAGAAAAACACATTTTCACTTAATTATTATAAAAACTGATTTAATTGATCATAAAATTCCTACGAATTCCATACCGTAACGAAATGTTAGAGGAATAATAAATGTTTTCAAATAGATTATTATAAATAGTATAATATGTCGAATATCTATAAGAATTATATAAACTGAATTGCAAAGTTGAAATTATTTGTTACTATTATATTAGAACTTTAGTCAGAATTAAAATTAAAATCTGAATTATTTTCGATATACAAAAAAATTTTTTTTTCAATAACGATTATTTTGTTAAACCAAGCAGAAAGGTCTTTAAATCGTTGAAATCGGACGCTTAGTTCTCTCAAAAATTGCCATTTTTTGCACATTTAGCTCTGTATCATCGAAAGAGCTGGACCTGTCTTTGCCAAAAACTAATGATCTCTTCTTCCAATCATTACAAATTGAATGTTTTTTAGATCATTCAAATCGGATACTCCGTTCTTTCAAAAACTCGATTTGTATTTTCTGCACTCTTTGCTCCATATCTCAGTAACGGCTGAACCTGCCTTTTTCAAAAACTAATCAGCACATCTCCCTATCAATATTAATCGAATGTTTTTTTGAACCATTCAAATCGGTTGATCCGTACGCCCGAAAACGTGGACTTGCATTTTTTCTGAGGTATGCCAAAATGTTCAGAAACCTTCAAAACGTGAAGAATGCAAAAAATTTCATTTTCGATTTTCGGCCAATTACTATAACTACCCTACGGGAAGTTAACAAGTATGGCCGGTATTAAAACTCTTTAGCAATTTTGTAACACTTTCAAAAACTAGTTACGAATATTACGGTTTAGATTATCAAACCAAAATGCTTAAAATTTATTTATTTAGAGATACAATTCTGATTTATAGGAGAATTTCGAACCCTTTATAATCATAGTTTTAGGCTTTAACGCTGCCACATTTTGATAATTAATGAGACCAGTACGAACCTACTGCTACAAATAATATTCTTAAAATGTAACTACAACTATCAATTTTACATTCAAATTCAGATATAAAAAATTACTTACATTTTCAACAATTCAACTTACATTTTCAAATTCTTGAGGAAATTCATAAATCCTTTTGCAATCTATTATATTTCGCCAGATTATTTCCTTTTTTAAAGGATTTTCTCGAAAAAGTAAACCAGTATAAAATTTTAGATCAGATTTTGTACTGCATATTAGAATACAGAGTGTTTTGTATGCAGTACATTGATATTGTCTGAAAAATAAAATTTCAGTTTAATTAAACAAATTTTTATTAGAAATGGTATTCATAAGTAGATTTTACGACCTGAATAACTCGGCGCTTTCGGTATCATTTTCATCATAATTCATAAAAGTTCGAGCTTTGAATGCTTTTCTAGTTAACGTCGATAATACTTCTCTAGGATTTTCTTGTTTGAAATCTGGAAATGATCTTAATATGGGATTCGATGCATCATCGGAAAATACTTGGGTCCGAAAGATAAACTAAAATCTGTTGAATAATATTTTTTCTTAGATTATACTGAATCAGAACAATAACAATGTGATATCGAATATCGTTTACCGTAATCAAATGAAAACAGCAAGTTCTATCCACATAAGCTTGCTTTAAATCCCAAGCCCGACTTGCTGAAGTGTAAGGACTTTCAATTAAATTATTAAAATCTTCTTCAAAAAAATTCTTGTAAAATAATTCAATGATCTGCTGATCACAAGATGTTAAAATTGTTCCAAGCACACGTTTTAATATTGATACTCTAATAGAAGGAGTATATTCTCTGGATTTGATTTGAAAATAAGGAATTCGTAAAAGATTAAACTGATTTTCTGGTGCACAATTTTCAATTGTTCTGCATAACTTTTCCTGAATTTCATCTTCACAGATGTGATCCAAATCAGCTAAAAAATAATTTAATTGTAATAAATAGTCTCTCACAAAAAGGCAGAATAAAACATGGAAATAGATATACTCAATAAAATTTAGTAACATGATGTATCATATCAATAAAAGTTAAATTTATTATAGTTTCTACATACCAGCAATAATGCTAATAATCCTTTCCAATAAAATTGGCGACTGTGACTTGCATAACGAGTTCAGTAGGGCACTAAATGCGGACATATATGAAGCTCTTTCTATACTTCCTTCTCGAAACTCTTTAGATTCTAAAGGAAAATGTAGTGATTGAAAAGTTTTCAAAGCTTGTGTCAATTCAGGATTCTCTATGTCTTTAGGTCCAGTTATAAATGGCAACACATCCAGTACTTTAGATTTGGTATCTAATGATACAGTTGTATTTATTAACAATTTCATACACCATTCCGCTAAATAATTTATTGGCCCAACTACATTTGAAACAGGAACTATGATTCCCAGATAAGTTACTAAATCTACAGCATCAGATTCAGTAACATGTTGAACTATGTCATTCCAATGATTCAACATAGTTTCAGAAATGTTAGAAATTAAAAACTCATTTTCTTTCTCATTTCTATATATATATAAAATAATCTGGATTAAAAAGTCAACGATTAAATGACGTTTTATTGGAGATGCTCCGTCCAAATTTGTTATTGTTTTTTTAACAGCATCTATAGGAAATCGCATAAGGTATTTTATTATTTGATTTCCAAAAATCGAGTAAAAATGTTGACCATGAGCTAATTTGGATTCTGTTATATTTCCTATAATGTGAACATCATTTAATACTGATTCGATCAATAAATCTTTGCAGTCGACATGCTCAAAAATTACAGACAAAATTTTGCCATAATAGTTTATTACATTATGCTCAGGAAAAATTCCAATTTTTGTATCTGTATCTGTATTTTCTTCTATCAATCCGTTATATATATTGGTTATATACTGCCCGTTAGCTAAGCTACTCCAAAATTTAGATCGTGTAACATAAGAATGTTTGCAGATACTAGAAATTGCGTTCAAACAATTGTTTTTGGCTACTGATAGAGATACAGAATTAAAATTAACTTCAGTTTCATTGAAATATTCATGTATGCACTCATTTAATTTTTCAATAATTGATCCTTCAATTTGATGGTAGTAGGTATCATTCTTATATTGTCTCAAGTTTTCTATAAATTCATTTAACTTTATTAAATAGTTTTGACCAATGTAATTATTTTCAACATTGAAATGTAAATCTTGTGGACAGAACAAACAATTTACAACAACATTTGATAAACGATTCAACCATGAAAAACTTGTGATCAATTCATCAGCATCATCACAAAAAAGTATTTTTGAAACAAAAGTTAAAATCATTATAAAAGTATTATATTTAAATTCAATAAATTTTTCTTTGTCTTTAATAGAAATGTTCATGCCGACTGAAGCATCTAAAAATGCCGGTAAATCAGCAGGATCAATATTTACAATATTATTGATAAAGTATTGAATTGTCACAAGTATTTTGCTTTCCTCGAGATCAGAAAATAAAGTTGTTGGTGTAAATAACGTATTTTCAAAAAGCCAAACGTAAAAGTCCAAACTTGCATACAAATTCTTCATCCATTTGAGAATGTCTCCAAAAATAAACTCTGTTTGTTTTAGGTGCTCAAGAGTCGGTTTAGAATTTAAACCATTTGTATTTGTTGAACATTCTCCTATTTCTATTACTGATTTAATCACAAAATTTCCTGTGTTTTGCATTATAAACATATGAGCAGTATTTATTTCATCCACAAGAACGGCTAGTTTTAAAAACATTTCCATACATTTTCTTCTACAATGATTTTCAACAAACCCACAATGTTTGAAAAGCCATGTTACATAATGTTTTAATAAACAACCATTCAAAACTTGTGGTATATTTCGATGCCCACTATCTCTATTAAACAAATCACTTTTTTCTACCAATACACGCATTAGGTGATTCAAAGTTTCTTCTAGCTGCTGAATATTAGTGTGGTCTTTATTAACCATCAAGCTCTGTACAAAATAAGTTGATAATTGTATCCAAAATTGATCAACTATGTTATCATTCTCCCTGAAGATCATATAGAGATTATTAAAAGTCAATGCTGCCCCTAACTGCTTATGAACTGAAGAATTAATACTATAATCGCATATTTTAGAAATCAATGCTTCTAAATTAACAGATGAACTTCTCAAATCTTCAGGATCTGCTTGACGTAGAGACCATTTCACAAACTCATTTAAATATTTTGCAGATATATCTCGAACAGAAGCAGATGTTTCATTAGATGTACCTATCTGAAATATAAAAAAAACAAACACACACATACATAAATACATATATATATATATATATATATATATATATATATATACAAAAATAATTGAAAAGTACCCAATTAACATGACTAAATTTCCAAGCAGATAAAAGGGTTACACCAGAAAAAACTCACCATCAACTGATCAATTAATAAAGAAGTTTCAATACTTTTAATTTTCCATTGGCTGGAAAACCAATGCGTGATTTGTATCATCAGTGGATCAAATAATTGCATTGCTATAATATCAGAATCAGCAGCAAGTTGTAGCAAAGTTGGAAAAATATTAGTGTACAAGTGAACTAACTGAGCAGTATTTACTTGCATACCTAGAAAATAAATATCAAAGTAAAATATTTTTTGCAATTAATAAGATAAAAGCTTCAGCTGCTGTTACTTGTAACATTCAAAACCATCTTTGTTATTTAATATTTACTGTACTTACCAGTGCCTAATATATATAGCACAATCCCATGAAGCAACTCACAAGCAGCAATTCTAGTTTGGCGATCATTAGAATCTAATACCAATTTATTGATCCTCGGCAAGAGTTTGTCCAAATAAATCAATGGTTTAACACCTTGACAAGGCAATCTAAATCGAAGATGTTGTTTGAGATCCCATGGAATAAGATGATCATAATGATTGGAGATGTTCTTTGAAATTAAAGATGAGCAATCCATTGAGCTCAATTTTCCTTAAAAGCAGCATAAAAATATACAAATATTTACACATAAATGAAATTATTAAAAGATAAAGGAAAGCAAAAAAAAAGTTTAAATTAATGAATTATACCTATGAATGTTATAATATCTCTTTGCAAGAGTGCAAGTTCACTTGGTGTTCCTTCTATTATTTGTTTCTTCACTTTCTTTTGACTTCTCGAATCTGTTATTAAACATACCTTAACATCTGGATCACCAATTAAACCCTGACTCTACATTTATGAAAAAAGAAACATTAGTATTATCAATGAAGAGTGATGTGCACGTGCCAACTGACATTTCAATAAGTTAAAAAAAAAACGTAATTTGTTATGCTTGGAAAGAAAAAATTTGCAACATGATTATTACCTGTAAGTAAGGCTCAAGACATGATAAAACTTCATCAAGCAAAATTGTATTTTGTTCTTTAGATAAGTGATCTGTCCATCGTTCTAATGTCTCCAATGCCAAACTAGCAAGGGTCAAGTGATTATACCCCAATTTAAATATAATCTATAAGAAAGTCAATATTTAAATGATTTCCCTATTAAACAAAGTTAATAATAGCAACAACATATTATAATAATAGTAAACCTGCAATGAAATAGATGCTTCTACTAGTAACTCAGGTATAAAAATCACAGGAGCCGTTAAAAGTACACGAAGACAAGATTCTTGGAGATCACCATTAAACATTCGAACATTCACAGCACATTCCTAAAAAACAAAAATATGTTAAAAACACAACAAATAAAACAAAAGATTCACATTACCTGTAAGAAATTCAAGACCAAAACGTAACAAGAAGACTTTTCTTCACTTTCCTCATAATGATCAAAGTATTCACAAATATCACAAAAATCTAAACCATATGAAGATAGTTTATAAAATCCACTCGCAATAGGAAACTTGTAAGAACAATTAATTACTTCTTTTAAATAAGTTGGAATCCACTTATCAAATATTTCAAAATTGATGTTAATTATTTCTTTATAAAAATCTACCATGTTAATAAATATATGATAATCTTTTAGTTTATTTGGTTCAAGGCTTGATTTAATATCACAGTATAAAATATCATCATCATTACTTTTATTTTTCACTTTACGTTTTGTGGACAAATCTAATTTATTTATGATAGCAAAAAATGCTTTCATGATATTATCATATATTCTAAGACTCAATTCTTTTTGAACACCATCTTTCTGTGATAGCAATCCTATCCATAATGGTAAAAAGTTTTTGTAGGATATATTGTTTTTGTAAAAATCTTCATTTTCCTCAAATGATTCAATAGCTATAGGATGAGAACACGTGCCAATAACACCATGATATATAGTTACTTCCAAAACTTCTTCATAAAAACATCCATTAATCTGTGTTATGTTAAAGAAAGTCTTCATCAAGGATTCGATACATAGATTATGATGAGATCCTGATAATTGATGAAATTCTTGAAATAATATCACAATCAAATTTTGTAAAGCCTTTAAATGAACATTATTTATTGATGGCATATGAGAAATAATAATTGATAAGGATTCTAAGTATTCTGGTAAGTTTTGTATTGATTTGTGCTGAGTTTCAGATGTATACATAACTTCTGTTTGCTGAATAATGATCTTGTATAAAGGAATTATATCATCTTGAGATAATAGTGCTGAACAGCACGAGGAAAATGTTCCAAATCCTCTTATAACTATTCTCAATTCATATGTTTTAATTTTTTCTGTTTGCAATTGTGTCTTGAAGAAATTTATGAAAAACTGTGCAAATACAATATAAATTGTAATTAAAACATAAAAAATTGATGATAAACAAAAATAAATAATTCCATATTTGAATTTTTACCAGTAAAACTTTCAGTTCCTTCTTTATCAATAAAACTTTGGCAATTTGAATGTGAAAAACTTCTATAGCAGGAACAGCAATTGAAATATCCTCCCAAGAGAGTTTTAACCAGCTTTGTAATGTGTTATGCCACCACAGACAATCTTTGTATAGGTGCTCTGATACCAAGTTACCATGCTTTGTTAAAAGGCTCAAAGCAGCTTATGATGAAAAGAAGTTGATTTTTATCATTAATATAAATACATATAAAATAATCAGTTGTTAAGCAGTATAACTTATGGAAATACTTCACCTCTAAAAGCCGGTCGAAATTTTACATCACCGGGATATGACATAGTTTTTAGCATATTATATAATCTCAAACATTCTTCTGTATCTATTTCAGGGTCTGGTGCAAATGTGCAAAACATATTTTCAAAAGCTGTTAATATGCCATGAATTATACGTAATTTGGTCTAAAATAGAAGCCACATTAAATAAGTTAGAAAAATTTCTTATGGTTTTTATTATAATCTGTTACTTTCATTGGTTTAATCTTTATCTTGATTTTTGTATCTTACCACAGCAGTAGTTGAACAAGTATAAAACATATTTATTATCATTATAGTAACTCACATTTACAAGATTTTTTGTTTGCGTTTCAAATTGTGAATAAAGTAGCACCTGAACTCTAGAAACATGATCTTGCATTTCATATGGAAAATCTCTGGCCAATATACCAAGTAAAGGAAATAATTGTTCATACACTGTAGAAAATATGTAATTTCAGTGTATTTTTGAAATAAAATTTTTATTATGATAAATTTAGAATTGTAATGATGTGAATCAATTATCATATTAATTATATAATAATTTGTATATAAAATATCATTAGTAAAGTGATAAAATTTGTATTTCTATTTACAAAATAAAATTAATAAAATTAAAGTTACCTAAACTAGATAACTTTCCATATTCCAAATGATGGACTACTTGTGCAATAACATAATTAATATCCAATAAATCCACTATTTCCTTATTATTCACAATAGCAACCAATATTTGAAGAGCAATAGATTTTTCTTTTGCCATCTTATCGGTATATAAAGTTTTTATTGAAATCTGTAATTGAGTTAATATTATTAATTATGCAATTTTAATTATTTACGACATGATAAAATTATTTCATTTAATAAAACTTATTATATGATTAAAATGCAAAGAAAACGTCTCACATTAAAAAAATATTAAATTTAACTGATTTAATATCAATAAATAACAATTAATCAATATGTTCGGAAAGTTATTTTCAATAAATAATGCAAGAATAGTAGTTTAGTTTGATACCTTTGATATTTCTTTAATATGTTCTCTAATTTTAATGGGAAGCTCCTCTACCAGCAAAAGAAGTAGATCTAATGAGAACTTTATACTTTCTTGCAAATAAACTTCAGAGATATGTTGTTTGATAAATGGTATAATGCCATCGTCTTCATTAAATATAATGGACAAGGCAAAATCTAAAGAAATGAAAAATTAGTATCAAAGTTGCAACAATTTAAATACAAAAGCATTCTTACCTATTTCAGATGAAGTAACTTCTCCTTTAAAAAATCTTAATATATTTGAAATGCATAATTTTGCTTTTGTGCCCTGTTTTGTCTGTATACATAATTTTAAATCTTTAAATGTGTCTTCAACTATTGAGGCCATATTTCTTTTTTATACTAAAATATTAAAATATGTATAATTAATTATTATTATTCTGAAATAAGTTGCTTAATGAATATTGACAATGATTTATAACCTGTTGATAATATTTTATGAAATTTTGCACAGTACATTAGCACAAATTTGCGTTATTGCCTAAAATTTACATAAACTATTGCCAAACACTTGCACATGAATTCTTTTTATTAGTGTCACAAATTTTATACATTTCACATTTATATGTCGGTTCTAATAATTCTGTAACCTGTTTATTTATCGATGTCTGTAACCGTCAAATTTGACAACCCGATAAGAATCATTATTATGTTACTACTACTGCTTCGGAATATCAAACTCAGCAGTGACATCTAAAGAGATGGAAGTGTTTTCTGTTGTCTTAAACTTTTTGAATTTTTATTGTTGATCATTCTTTTAAAGTGTGTCTAGTATTACAAAAACAACAAAATCTGTAAGTTACCATTGTATAATAATAGTAATATTTTATTTAATATATAAAAGTATATAAGGCAAGTAAAAAACGGTTAAGACGATTTTTTAGGATGCCCGTCAAAAAGACATCTTAATTTTATCATGCTTTTATTTTGGGTTATGTAGGTATTAAATTATAGGTTTGTAATTACTTTGATTACTAACATTAAATAATTTTAATTACGTTTATAGTATTCTACAACAATTTTTCGACAATTTTGCAATCGTTTGACAACTGATCATCAGAATTGGCACAGTTCAGGTCAGTAAGTTTCTCTTTCTTTGCCTACTTCACGACAATCACAAGTTCATTCAAAGATTCAAAGTTTGATTAACCTGTCATCAACTTACAATAAGTTAACTTACAACTTACAACTAGTTTTTATCACTTAAATAAAGAGTTAAATATCATGAGTAATATTGCAAAATTTCAGGATATGTTACCATTCATGTATGGTACAACATTTTGTGTATGCTATTGTTTGAAGTGTTTTGAAGGTGCACAATGTCGTTGCTATTTTAAAACAATCTATCTAGCCGTTTGCAGCGATGATTAGCCTCATATCAGGCTATTATCTATAAGTCGATCATTTTACGTGTTTTCTCTCTAAGTGTTTAATACCTTAGAGCCGACTACACCTTCACTTTTCTCTGGTCTCGAAACCCCATGGCCGTCGTCAGGTATTCATTTGTGGGGCCGGATGTAGCAATTGCTCTTCATTTTTAGTAATTAAGGTATTATTTTTCTTTACTACTAATTGGCGTTATGCACTTTTATTCTTATTTCCTTGGAACGCAAATTTGTGAAAACTTTTGTTATAAATGTGCGTATTTAATTTTCGGATTCAATAGTAATTTAACATTATCACATATTGTTTTAAAACGGGGCACCCAACAAGAATTCTGAATTATATGATCCTAATATGTTATCAAGATCTTAATCTCAAGTGTTGCAAATATTTTTATATTATGAGGAAAACTTTCAAAATATAATATATATATATATATATATATATATATATATATTCTTTTGCACAAGTTTGGAGTTCAATATTTTATATATAATATTTTTCTGTGTTTTTCCTGATTTGGTATGTATATAATTTTCTCCTTTTATATTTTTTCATTTATTATCAACTATTGTTATCTATGTAATATGTTTTTTTTAGATTACTGAATGATGACATACGTTAAGTGTCGAAACGTTTAATAAAATTTTTTTATTTTAACCTTTTTTAATTCGACGATTTGGCTGCAAAATATTTCAAATACATACATATATACATATATTATATATATATATATTGAATGGTAGAGTCTTGGATTTGTGTATATTTTGTAGAGTTTCGAACAAGAATCCAAAAATAATACAAAATAAAAAACAAGAAAAGTTTTTAAAAAACAATTTCTTTATTTAATTATTTGTTTATTGTCAACGTTTCGGAACTAGGTACGTTCCATCTTCAGGACATCTGTCAAAAAACATGATCTTGATGAGATTTAAGCAAACAATATGTTTAGGAATAGAAAATAGTTTTCTTAAATAAAAATTAATTGTAACAAGTAATAATGTACAGAAATATGATAATATGATCAAAAAGAAAATGATAAAAATAAATGAATGAAATGAATGAAATGGGTCATTTGTTGTGATATAATTGGTTTGATTTTCATAATATAATTTATATTTGCTCAAATCAAATTGGATCTTTGTGCCTTACCCTGCTATATATATATAATATATATATATATATATAATATATATATATACTTTTTATTAAATTTACTTTAATTCATGGTATGTTACTTGGAACTTTTCAAAAATCAGGTCAAAAGAAGAGATACCTAATTCATTTTCTATCTCTCCTCGCATAAGCTCAGTAGTATTATTTACAATTATACACAAACTCCAGAATCTAAAAAAAATCTGAAAAACGCAATCAATATTTGATTAAATGGAATTTGTAATGACTATGTAAGTCGAAAGACCAAAAAAGACTTGTATTGGATTATGCCATGTTTCTATAGAAAATGTATGTAACTGCCACTTTGATTGTATTAATAAAATATAGACAAACTAATGGGGTTTATTGTTTTATAATACCTTATTGTATATAGCATTCAAACAACACATTCTTACACAATTAAATTAAATATAAATTTTTTGATACTCTAGAAATTGTTTAGAAAATACCTTATTAGCAAAATAACGTTTGCCGGGCCAGCTAGTATATATATAGAATACATATATATATATATATATATATATATATATATATATATATATATATATATAATCACATTTACTAGTGTTATTAAAATTAAAACAATTTCCGTGTGTCAAACTGCTTATATTTTTAACTTCTCATCTTGATTATTAAAATTTTGTGCTCAAGCGCATGCCAAGTAATTTTAATTGTTGTTCAAATTCATAAATAGGAATAATAATATGAAATAAATAATTTTGGTTTTGTAATAAATAAATTATAATTGACTCCAAGTTATAGACTATTTATTTTTCCCTTGATAATATGTGATATATATTTATATAAAATGTTATACATTGCCTTTGAGCACGAATGTATTTTAAAAATACACACACTGCTAGTAAAAATATTGAATAGAATTTTGATGCATTACATCTACATCTACAAAAATATTAAATAGAATTTTGATCATTACATCTACATATTTAAAGATAGATT